TGTGATGTAAAAGTGGATTTGCCCCACCCAGGGACTGTCCAATGCATCCCTTCTCAAAACACCCGAAGTCAAATAGGTCTCCCAGGAGCCTACCAGGACCACCTGCCACACTTCTAGGGACCCCACACCCTGTAACAACCCAGCCCAGGCACCATCCCTCTCCAGGCTCAGCCCAGATACTCCCTATTCAAGAAAACTTGAACCCTTCCTTTGGACGATTTTACCAAGATGGGCATAATCTTTAATGCAGACAATGGCTTCCATGATATTAAAAGTGAGTCTCCAGCCCTCGGGCAACAATGAGTGATGGTCAGAAGTACACTGTGAAGCAGACATTCTGATGCCTGGCACAGCGCCAGGCCAAGGAAGAATCAGAAATCACTGAGAAGCCAAGACACAAGAGATTTCACCAAAAGAATTTATTGTACAACTACAATTGGATTTGACTCAGGAACCCCAGAAGACATCTCCAATTTACTGGTCCTTCCTGGGGGGATAATAGGAGAGCATAGACAACTTCCCCAGGAAAGTGAAATATTCCTGGAAGCTCACTTCAGAATTTTTGTCTCTGTCCAGATCTTCTATCAAAGCTTCAACCTCAGCAGTGCGCGGCTTCTAAAGTGTGAGAATGGGAAGCTCAGAGTCAGTGGCAATGGGCATCCTCGGCTCTCTCCTTCCTCCCTCCCAGGTAGCTGCTTTCTCTCATACAAACCACTCTACTCATTGCCACCAAGGATGGTTGTCCCCCTTGGGTGCACCTTGGCTTTACTTCTCCCCCACCCCTGTTTCTTGCTCAGATGAAGTCAACACCTGAATGAGAGCACCTCAGCCCCTCCAAGCAGTACATGGTTGAGGCAGTGAATGAACAAGTGGTGGGAAGCAGGGCTGGGAGCAAACTACTCACCTTACAAAAGGGGATCTCTGTGAGGACCAGCTCCTTCAGCTGCTGCTTTGTTAGGGTCTTCTTGTCACCTTCCTTGCCAGCGTACTTGTAATAGAGGGACTGGAGTATGCCACATGGTCTTCCAAAGAGAATGTCATTGCTGCAAGATAGGCTAAGAGGTGCAGACAGAGGGGCTGGTCAGATTCCAGTCCACAGGCCTTCTTGTTCCCCACACACCCCTGCAGCTCTATCCTCACCACCTGCCACTCCTGTTGATAGGGAACAAGGCCCAGGGGACCAAAGCTGAGGAGAAGAGGGATCAACAGGCTGTAAGGAGCCACTAGGGTCTCCAGGTCTGGGTACTCATGCTGCCTTGCAGGAGAAGTTAGAGAATATCATTGCACAGGGGATACTGGGCCTTACATCGCTGCACAGGCACATACACGATACAATTTCCAACACCTCAAAAGAGCACCATCAGAACCACCCCACTGGAATGCCCTAGTCTGTGCCCTGCCTGTCATGGCCCTCTACCCCTGGCTTTTCCTCCACAGCGTGGATCTGAAATCTCCAACCAGAGAAACCCCTAATGCAGGCTGTGCCACAGTGTCTGAACACCAAGCCAGCAAGCGCAGGCAGAACTCACTGCACTTGTCCACAGACAGCAGAGCGGGAGCCGGCAGTCTGATGGGAGTGCTGCTAAGTGATGGAGAGCTCCACTGGGCCGACCTTACATGGGTTGGTAGAGAAGGCAGGCTCAGACCAGTCTCCACTGTCACAGCCGGGCTCCACCTGGGGCATACCTGAGCCTCAGCATGACTCTGCAGGCCTCCTGCCCCAGTTGCTCCGGGGTAGGGCAGGGCTCAGGGAGCCCAGAGGCAGCCAGGAGGAAAGGACCTGGTGGGCACCGCTGTAAAGGGGCTGTTGGAATTTTCTGCATTTCCATATCTCAGTTTGTGCAGTGTGGCAGGCACAGGGCATGGGGGGTAGGTGTGGTCACCTACTTCTTTCTCAGCCACCTGCCCGCCACCGCTTAGAGCAGGATCAGCATTGGCTGGGTGCAGGAACTTCTTGGGAAGCTAGTACTCACCACCAACCACCTCTCATAGTTAGTCGGGAGCAACTACAGAAGAGGGGTGAGTCAGACCCGGGGCTACAAAGGGGTATGTACTGGTACAAACATCAGCAGACCTTGGGATCCATGGAACATGTTACAAGATGCACACACAAATACACACACATACACCTGA